TTTTAAACTTTAACCCCCTTTCCCCCCCCCCCCCCCGCCTTGGCAGGCCAGCTGGGGAAGCAAAAAACAGGGGAGGGTGTCTTCAAAAGCCTCCCCCTTTCCCAGCCAGCCTGCCAAGGTGAGTGGGGGGGGGGGGGAAGCAGCGGCACGATCTCTCCATTCTACTCTTTGGGCCATAGAATAGAATGGAGAGATCTGCAGAGAGAAGGGGTTTAAACTTGAAAACCCTTCTCTCTTCGCTTCCCCCGCCCACCTTGGCAGGCCGGCTGGAGAAGCAAAAGGGGGGAGGGATCTTCAAAAGCCTCCCCTTTGCCAGCCGGCCTGCCAAGGCAGTCGGGGGGGGGGGAAGCAAAGAGAGAAGGGGTTTAAAGTTTTAACCCCTTCTCTCTGGAATTGCACCACAGCTGAGGAAGTGAAGGGGAGGCTTTTGAAGATGCCTCCCCCCTTTTTGCTTCTCCTTCTGACATCACTTCCGGTGATATCAGGGGGCATGGCATATGCTAGTGAGCTATTATGCTAAGAGCTCATTAGGTATGCTAATGAACTCCTGCAGCTCTTTTTCTATGAAATGACCCCTGGTCTCCATAATTATAAAATACAAGCAGGGGACCTGCAGGGGGGGGTATCTCCTTTCTCCCTACACCACTATTTCCTCTTTCTCTTCCTTGAAAGCCCCAATAGTTTCTCCACCTTCTCCTGGTTCCTTCTCTCCTTCCCTCTGACCAGCCAACCTACCTATGTCTACTCCTGTGTCACATTTGGAGCAAAGCCTGGCACTGTTACTCTACTTAGGGTTATCGGGATACAGAATACAATGACAATAAGTAAGCAAGATGCAGGAGCAAGGTCTACAAACCAATCCAGAGTCAGAGATCCAAAGGTCCAGTCCAGGGGTCAGGGGAAGGAGGATCCAGGGCATGGGAACCAGTGCAAGATACAAAGTCTGGGTCTCAAGTTGTGGAAGCAAGCAAGGTTAACAAAGACATAGTGTAAAGCAGCAAGTAAGGGTAGAGCTCTGTTCACTAAGCAGCTCACAGAGGGGTGTGGTGTGCAATGTTGCCTCCATAGCAAACCTTGCTTGGTTTGTCCCTTTTATCTGCCTCCTTTTGTTGACTCCTCCCCAAGGCCCAGGTGTTGCTTCTTACTGCTGTGTTTATCGTCTGGCAGGTACAGGTCTAGGGGTATGCATTTGGTAAAGCCGAACCTAAAAAAAAAAACCCAAAAAAAAAATGCCTTTGGGGCATTTTTTTGGTATTTGGCAACCTGAATCAGATTCCCTGATCTGACTCGGCTGCCAAATGCTGAATGCCAAAACTCTCTGAAAATATTCAGTTTTTTCCAGCTTTTTTTGGCATTGCCGAATACAGGCTCTGGGAGGCTTTAAACTTTAAAGGGCTCCACTTGCCTTCTTTTTCCTGCTGTTTTTATCTCTTTCCCGCCCTTTTGTACTGTAGAGATCCTCAGAATGACCTAAATCCTGTTGGGTTTGAACACTGACTCCCACAGTGGCACTGGTTCTGGTGGGCAGATTGCACTAATTCTGCTGCTGGCTTTGCAAACATGCCCCCAGAGATTCTCAGATTTGACCTGAGTCCTGTTGGGTTTGGACACTGACTGCCACAGTGGCACTGGTTCTGGTGGGCACATTGCACTGGTTCTGCTGCTGGCCTTGTAAATATGCCCCCTCACACCACCATACCTCACTTACTTTCTAGTGCAGAGATTCTTGGAGAGACACTGCTGCCTGCCTTTTCCCCCTTCCATAGGAAACAATGGAGGATTGTGGGCACCCTCTTTGGATGCCCCTAGAATCGGACCCCTAGTCCAATCTTTTCCAAACTTGGGGGTTCTTTTGGGGAGAGGCTCCACAAGCTACAGTACAAATTTAATTCCTCTATCTCAAACCCCTTCCCTCCCAGCCCCCTAAATACTTGTTAGAAGATTTTTAGCATTGACTACAATAACCCCAGAGAACAGCAAGGAGAGATAAGGAGGCCTTCCTGAATGAACAGTGCAAAGTAATAGAGGAAAATAATAGAATGGGAAGGACTAGAGATCTCTTCAAGAAAATTGGAGAAATCAAGGGAGCGTTCCATGCAAAGATGGCCATGATAAAGGACAAAAACAGTAGGGACCTAACAGAAGCAGAAGAGATTAGGAAAAGATGGCAAGAATACACAGAAGAACTATACAAGAAAGACCTCAATGTCCTTGACAAACACGACGGTATAATCACTGACCTTGAGCCAGACATCCTGGAATGTGAAGTTAAATGGGCCTTAGAAAGCATTGCTAACAACAAAGCTAGTGGAGGTGATGGTATTCCAGTTGAGCTATTCAAAGTCTTAGAAGATGATGCTGTTAAAGTTCTGCACTCCATTTGCCAGCAAATTTGGATAACGCAACAGTGGCCACAGGATTGGAAAAGGTCAGTATACATTCCAATCCCAAAGAAGGGCAATGCCAAGGAATGTTCAAACTATCGCACAATTGCACTCATATCACACGCTAGCAAGGTCATGCTCAAGATCCTACAAGCTAGGCTTCAACAGTACGTGGATAGAGAACTGCCAGAAGTACAAGCTGGGTTTAGAAGAGGTAGAGGAACGAGAGATCAAATTGCCAACATTCGTTGGATTATGGAGAAAGCAAGAGAGTACCAGAAAAACATCTACTTCTGCTTCATTGACTATGCTAAAGCCTTTGACTGTGTGGATCACAACAAACTATGGCAGGTCCTTAAAGAGATGGGAGTACCAGACCACCTCACATGTCTCTTGAGAAACCTGTATAAGGGCCAAGAAGCGACAGTTAGAACCGGATACGGAACAACTGATTGGTTCAGCATAGGAAAAGGAGTACGACAAGGATGTATATTGTCACCTTGCTTATTTAATATATATGCAGAGTACATCATGCGAAATGCTGGCCTGGATGAATCACAAGCGGGAATTAAGATTGCTGGGGAAAAGATCAACAACCTCAGATATGCAGATGATACCACTCTAATGGCTGAAAGTGAAGAGGATCTAAAGAGCCTCTTGCTCAGAGTAAAAGAGGAGAGCGCAAAAGTGGGCTTGAAGCTCAACATCAAAAAAACTAAGATCATGGCATCCGGCCCCATCACTCCTTGGCAAATAGAAGGGGAAGCTGTGGAAGTAGTGACAGACTTCACGTTCCTGGGATCCCAGATCACCGCAGACTGTGACTGCAGCCATGAAATTAAAAGACGCCTGCTCCTTGGGAGGAAAGCGATGGCGAACCTAAACAGCATGA